TCCCCTTGTAGATGTCCAGTAAGACCATCCATAACATTATTTTTTGCATACCATTTAATAATTTTCAAATAACAAAATAAATGCCCGAACTTTTAAAAAGTGATATGTGCATAAAGCTTTCATAATAAATTTATTTACATGCCATCATATAAGAAAAATTTCGAATTCAAGCTACCGAGTTGAGCACAAATGCAGTAAACCAACTACGAGAGAACCGACTCGTAAACGATTCACAACCAAATCAAAACATACCAAAACCCGACTCTTTTGAACATTATCGTGCCACCCCCAAAACTTTAATAATCCACCTAGTCGAAAAAAAGCTTTATGAATGAGTTACACGAGCTAACAAAGGCTAAATGAAATTAGTTGTTAAGATTGATTTCAAGTACAAGAACAATGAGCCTAACCACTTTAAAATAATAATAAACAAACAATATGGTTTGGGAATTAATAATCCCATTATGTGAAAAGTGAAAATAAAGATAGCAACTACAATGGAATTGCTTAAAAACAAGAGTGAAGTAACAGAAAACAGGGGCAGGCTTCGTGTTATTGTTAAGTTAGTCTTGAGCTGAAGTTTGTCGAAGCGAAGAGGCGCGTGTTGCTTCAACCTGTACGTTCATGGAAAGAGGAGCAGCAATTAAAGCGAGGAGAAAAGGAGAAAAATCAAAGTGCATGTTTTAATGGAATTGATATATAAGAGGAAAGGGAATTTACATGCATACCACAGTTCTTATGTATTTACATATCTAACATCAACAATTTAATATTTATATTTATAACACTTTGATATCATAGACATATGAATGAAACAAATGTACTTCATTTTTAAAAAGTTAATGATAACATTAGTTTTGCTGTGGTGTCGGGATTTGAGTGCTATGCATATAAAATATGAAAATTTAAATGTTAGATATGTAAATACATAGGAATTGGGTGGTACACTTAAAATTTCAATTTATACCAACCAAATCTTTCATACTGCATAAAAAAATACCATCATTTTAACTTCCCATGAATATGTATGTAAAAATTGAAGTTTTAGGGGTTAGATGCATAAATCCATAAGAGTGGAAATACCTGCCTTTTATTGCTATATAAATATACTCAATGCATGGGACTCTTGCCAAAGGAGTCTGGAGAGAGGGATGAAGTTGAAATAAATTATTTACCTGAAAGACCATTAATATCAAAATGTAATGCCAGGTTTACATGCAACGGTGAGAACAATATTTGGAAGTGGATGTTCATACCTGTATGTTTTCCATCATTAAACTGGGCGTTTTTGGATGACTTGAAGGTTTCCAGAAACTCTTTAGCCTTTTGGAGCTCGAGCTTCCGCCTGGACTTGTCCCACTTGTGCTCGGAGGCTAAAATCTCAATTACTCGGGGTATGGCCCTCCTCGCAGCATCGGTGTCGAGGAAAGCCAGCCGAGACCGCCGGGCAATGAAATCAACGGTGGACTCACAGTACTCGTGCCGGGCACAGTAGGCTACCTCAGCCTCCAGGAATGGGTAACCATGGGCAAGCCTCTTGCCTAGATTTTCATTCTGCAAAATGGGGAAAATTAGAATGATAATAGAATCAGAAAACAGCATTATTGTTTTTGGTGCATTAGCTTACTTACCCACATAATCTCATTTATTTACATCTCTAACAACTACACTTTTATATTTATATACATAACATTTAAATCTTTAATGTTACATAAAAATACAACTGAGTGGAAATCTGAGAAGATTTGGCCATTTTATATTTTTCTCTCATGTTAGTTGGCCGCTAGTTTTAAATCTTGGAGGATTTGATTGGGATATCTTAGAACACTTTTAATTGGTCATTCCCTTCCTATTTTATGTCTTTCATATTTTTTATTCAGAATTATTTACTTTACTAATTTATGTGAGATGCGTTTGGTAAGTTTATAAATATGGAGGGATTGATTTCTCTATATGTATGTACCCTATTTGTGAATAGTGGATTAAGGAATTCTTTCCTCCCATATCTATTTTCTACATGATATCAGAGCTTTGAAAACAAACACCAGCATCTCATGCCGCGGGAAATCTCCTCTGCAGCCGAAAATCCTTTCCGTCGGCTGAATATCTTCTCTGCCAGCTTGCAGCCTGTACTTCTCTACTGGCCTTCCTTTGCAGGCCCTCCACTCCCTGCAGCCGGTAGTTCACTTGCTTTACCTTCCTCTCCCAGCAGCAGAAGTAAAAACTCTAGCCCTTCCCTGCAACAGCCACAAATCTTCCTTACAGACAGTCCTTTGCAGCTCCTGAAATTTCAGCAGCCAGAATTCTCCAACATCCACCACATCTCTCCCGGAACCCTCCCAGATGAAGGCTTTCCAGGTCTCCGGAAACTCTCCTTGCGACAGGCTTCCTGAAGGCTATTTTCCCTGGATCCAGCACCCGGAGAAGCAGCGGCAGCAAGAAAAAGAAACAGTAGCAGTGGCGGCTAGCTAAAACAGCAGAGTAAGCAACAGCAGTCAATTTCAGACAAACAACTAAAAGCAACCACAAATAAGCTTAGGATGATGACATAGTATGGAATGACGATGTCAAGTTCTACCCCCGGAGGTGAATTCTGAGTCAGAAACCGGGGGATTTTGTCCAAACTACTCTTGAACTCTCAAACAACCATAAATCATATATTCAATGGCCATAACTTTCTTCAATGATCACAATCCGTACTTATGTACATTTGTGGTAAAGAGAATCTCAATGGAGATGACAGTTCTTGAGATCACTGACCTCAACCATCGTACATAAAAGAATCAACATCATATGATTGTCTTAACTGGTCAATTCAATAACACCAGAAGTGGGAGAATTTTTTTCTCCACAAAACTGCCAAAGAAATCTAGGAGGCTGCAAGAGAAAAATATTACAACACTGAGAACACTACAAATTTGTTTAGGATCGAAACCAAGCTTCATGACCTCCGTCAAGGAAAACCAAACGTCACCCAATACTTTAACACTGACAAAATATTGACTATAATTGGATATGTTTGAGATGTGTGGAAATGTCTACAAGATGCAGTGACATTTAAATCCATCATCGAGAAGAAGATGACCATCAAATTCCTAGTAGGACTAACTCAGGAATTGGATGAGGTAAGAGGGCGGATCATGAAAACAAAGCCTATTCCATCTCCGCGTGAAGCGTTTGCTGAAGTCAAGAGAGAAGAGAGCAGAAAGAAGCTGATGCTAACAAGAAATAGGGTTTCACCAAGCACTAAAAGTTCAACTCTGTACACCCATAATTCTTCCCATGACTCAAAGGTCAAGAAGAAGCTACATGTGATTATTCGAAGAAGACTGGAAACCCAGATAGAGAAGGAAGGATCAATAGAGAAAGAAATATATTACTACCACACCAGAAGGATTGACAAAAACATTGACCAAGGAACAACTTGAAGTACTTAAGAAACTCCTTGGAAGTAATTCATAGCAGCACACCAACCTCGTGACATACCAAGTTAATATATCGTTCTCCCATCTTGCCAATAATTAGATATTCAAAACTTAGATCATAAAATCATAAGTCTCTGATCATATGATCGGAGACATCAATGCTCCAGTCAACTATCAAAAGATTTCTACATTTAGATCGACAAGACTTGCAGACGAATCACACAAAAAAATTGTGGAGAAATGAGATGGGGAGCTTTTTTAGGATATCACTCTTTCATTTGTCTTATGTGTTTCAAAATTAGATTGATTTTGATTTTAATCAGTAAGATTACTCATGATATGAAATGTAAATAAATTCCTTGCAAACTCTTATAAATTAAGTGGTGGAATTGGGAAAGGTGATTGACAGTGCTGAAATACATCAAGACTTGCATCTGGTCAATGAAAATTTCTCTCTAAACACACAACTAATCTCATCTTCACATATCCCTTAAATTTCTAAGTCTGTTGAGTCTACGTCCGTCAAAAAGTAGATCATGTTATGACAATATCTCCTGTGTCATCATAATTTTAATTATGTTACTAAGTTCTATACACATTTGTTTATTAATAAAGAAACTTAACTTTTATCAATGTGAAACTTGTCAACTGGCCAAACATATTAGAAATAGTTATCACCTGATTCAATATAAACTCACACTATTTTTTTTCATTTATCCATAGTGATATTTGGGGATCTTCAAAGGTGAAAATCCAAAGTGAGGCTAGATGATTTCTCATTTATTAACGATCATACTAGAACTACTTAGTTATTTATAATGAAGAAAAAAATCTAAAACAACATAAATCTTTCAAATTTTCTATACATTGATTCAAACTGAATTCCAATGTAAAATTCAAACCCTCAAAACTAATAATACAAAGGAATACTTTAACTCCACCTTTAGGTCCTATCTTTCAAAACATAGAATCATCCAAGTGAGTTCATGTATTGATATCTCACAATAAAATGGGATAGCAGAGAGAAAGAATAGACATTTAGGTAAAATATCCCGTTCAAATATGATTTCTCATCAAGTTTCAAAACATTTTTGTGAGAAAGTAGTTTATAGTGCAACATATCTTATCAATCAAATGTCTAGCCGGGTACTTCGCTTCAAAACACCACTTAATGTTTTGATGGTTACATATCCACACATCAGAGCTTTCTCTACTACTATACCACTTAATATCTTTGAGTGTATATTATTTGCTCACATTTATTCCCCAACCTGAACTGAACTCAATCCTAAATCTATCAACTGTATGTTCCTTAATTATGCCTCTAGCAAAAATGGGTATAGGTTTTACTCTTATTATCGGAAAAAAACTACAACTCCATGGATGTCATAATTTTGAAAATCAATCCTTCCAAATTTGATATTCAGGGAGAGAATGCAAATGACTATCAATTTTGGGATGCACTTGAGGACACATACACAACAAACCCAACTACTTTGTTTCCTACTCTTCGGCCTGACTGTCTTACTCTTGTTGAAGATATCCAACTAACCTAATTTAAAATCCACAATAAAGGACTCCATGTGTACACTAAGAGAAAGAAAAATCTTAAGCAGGTAGAAGTCAATTTTTAAAAATAAAACTACTTCAACCAAAATCCGAATCCATATTATCAGAAAGTTCAAGTGAGGAGTCTAGTACTCAAAAATATGTAACTTATGAAAAACTTTCCTCGGCCCATAGAGCATTTATATCTAACTTTGATAGTGTGCACAATCCTAAATTCATTTATGAAACTCTTGAAAATTTAGAAAAAAAGGAAAGCAGAGGAAGAATAGATTCGAGCACTAAAGCATAATAACATATGAACTTTTACTAAACTTTCTCAGGATAAGAAGCCAATTGGGTGCAAATAGTTGTTCAACATCAATTACAAAGTTGATGAGAGTATTAAGAGATTCAAAGCCAGACTTGTTACTAAAGGTTTCACACAAGTTTATGAGATTGACTATCATGAGACATTCACACCAACTGTCAAACTAAATGCTATAAGAGTTCTTTCAACAATGGTTTAATAAGGAATGAGGATTGCATCAACTTGACATAAAAAATGACTCCCTAAATGGGAATCTGCAAGAATAAATATAAATAGAGATACAACTACGACTTGAGAAAAATTCCAATAAACACCTAGTATGTAAACTCAAAAAGTCTCTTTATGGGCCTAAGTAATCACCAAGAGTGTGGTTTGAAAAGATGCTAAAATTATGAAATCCAATGAATATTATCAAAGTTAGGTTGTTCACATATTGTTCATAAAACAAACTCGGAGACATAAGATTGTTGCATTTATCATATATGTGGATGATATGATTTTTATTTGTAATGATAAAAGAAATTTCTAAAATCAAAGAAGCGTATGCAGTTTGAAGTCAATAACCTAAAAACATGAGATATTTTCTAGGTACAAAGGTTGCAAGGTTCAAGAAAAAAGTTATTAGGTCACAGAGGATATATACCATAGATATGCTAAAAAAAATAAAGATGAGTGGATGCAAAACTACTGATACTCCGATGGAGTCCAACAAGAAGTCAACCAGGGAAGAAAAAAGCATATCTGTGGGTAAGGGATGATACCAAGATTGATAAGACAACTTATTTATCATTCACATACTAGGCCAAATATTGCATACTCTGTCGGTATTATGAGGGAACATATGAATAACCCAAATGAAATGAAGAGCATTTGGAGATGGTATATAGAATTTTGAGGTTTCTCAAGAAGATTCCTGTTTATGGATTGATTTTTAAGAAAATAAAAAACAGAGAAGTGAAAGTCCACACTGATGCTAGTTGGGCTAGAGAACTCAGTGATAGAAGGTCCACAACAGGTTACACAACATGTTACTGCTCGTGTATGAGAAAATCTAATTACATGGAGAAATAAGAAGCAAGTTATTGTTGAGAAGCACTGCAAAATCAAAGTATAGAGCACTTGCCTTGGGGATCTGTGAAGCGATATGAATTCAAAAATTATTATAAGAACTAGGATGTTAGTTCAATAGGCTTATACAGATGTTATGTGAAAGTCAAACAACGATCAGTATTGCCAAGGATCATGTGCATCATGACAGGACCAAGTATATTGAAGTTGATAAACACTTCATCTCTAAAAAGGTCAATGGGGAAATTATACAATTAAGCTACATTCCGATACACTAACAAGTTGTTGATGTCTTCACCAAAACTCTTCCTTTTAACACATTCTCAAGATTCAATACTAAGCTTGGTTTCTACATCTATGACCCAGTTCGAGAAGGGGTGTGAAAATTTGAGAAGATTTAGTCCTTTCCATATTTACCTTTCTCATGTAGGGCGGCCACTACATCCAAATCTTGGAAGATTTGATTGAGACATATTAGGAAACCTTCAATTGGTTTATTCCATTCCTATTTTTTATTCAAAATAATTTACTTTCCTAATTTAGGTGAGATATATTTGGTAATTTTGTAAATAAAGAGGGAATGGTTTCCTTGTATATATGTACTCTATTTGTTAATAGTGAATTAAGGAATTCTTTCCTCCCAAAACCTGTTTATATATGTACTCTATTTGTTAGCCTTTCCATAAAATCAAAGTGAACTAAATGTAAATATCAAATTTTAGGTGTTAGATATGTAAATACGTAGTGATTGTTTAATATGATAGTAAATTTCCCATTTTAAAATGATAGTTTTTCAGAAATAGTGGCATCTTAAGAAGAATGAAGTTCTGATCTTAAAACATTTCAAAACCTAACATTATTTGCCAAGCAACCTCTATGTTTTTCCTCTTAATCCTTAGCAATTTCATTGGATTTTCTGTATTCTCATTCACTTATAAAACCATAGAGGACAAGATCTTGCAAATATGGTTCAATGGTCGGATAACATACATGAGCTTTCCAAGCATAAAAGGAACATATTTTCCATATATTTTACCTAGTTATATCGAATATTATTTACTTAAACAAAAAAAGAATGCATACGAGCATGGGATTCTTAACAAAATCATTTTGAAATTCAAACAATCTTCAAAGTTCTTATATTAACTTTTTGGGAAATCCTTCCGAATAAATTAATCATTAGCTAGAATAGGGATTGGGTATCCATAGAATATAAAATTATAGAATAAAAACATTATGGTTGATAAGAAAAAATCCCTAATGGTATAATATGATAAAAGAATATCTCACTTAAAAAACTTCAAGTAAATTCATAGAGCAGAAGGCTTTTGCATAGATCCAAGTGTTGGTCAAGGCACTAGGCCAGTAGGCCATAATAATATTTGAAAAGTTGAGAGTGAATGAATTCATATGCTAACAATATCATAGAACTAGAAGAATAGATCGTTATATGAGCCTATTTAGCAAGGTTATGAGAATAGCATAGAGCCAAAAATGATGTTGAGGAAATTAGCCTTGGGGATCATTTGGTAGCCTGATTTTTAAAAGCATGTTTGGAAACATGGCGAATATACTGAATTCCATCATTTAGTTGAATGAAATTAGAAATAAATATTTAATTTAAATTAAAAAGTTCCCTTGAAAGTAATGAATTCATTTTAAACAAAGTGAAAAATGAAATCATCACCTTCTAAAACATATCTTCTATCTACAAGCAAGCAAATGAGCACTTAAATGGTTTAAACATGGATGTAAAATAAGAAAACATAAAACAATAAGCTGGTTGAATAGAGTCGATAAGAAAAGACCAGGGAAAGAAATGAAAGGTGCATCAATTTGACTAGATATTGAGAAATAACATTCTTAAAGCCAATCAATCGTCAAATGCTGCACCCAATAGAAATAAATGGAGAAGAAAAATTCACATGGTTGCTCTAAAAGTAGTTGGGATGAAGCTAATAATGAAGATAACCATTTTTTAAACAAACCTCCCATATAAAGTTAAACTACTTAGATCATAAGAAGCATAAAGCAAGAAGCAGCCAAAGCTATTTCACTAACCAGACACGCCCAGTTTATCGTTTCAACATTTTGGTCAATAACTGAAAAATAAAACTTAGATTAGCAATAGAAATTATATTAAATGATGCGAGATGTATCAAAGTTGAAATCTATTGTGGTCTTCAATGGCATGGTTACACGGCCACTCTCTCACTCATGAAGATTAAAAAATGAGAAGTGTCAAAATAATCCACTCATTGTTTACAAGGGCTATGTTAGTTTCAAAGTCTATAAAAGAATCAAATTAATCCACACTCTTAAAATTGAGGCTGAAATGACCCTCAGTGGGGACTATCTCAGCTAATATTAAGAGTTTAGGATTAATTTGGTATGAACAGAGGACTATTTAAGCTCATACTAAAAAATTCGGAGGACAAAATTAGTACGACGGCTGCAAAGAGCCTGGGGACTATTTTGACATTTTTCTCATTAAAAAATTCAGTATAACTCACAGATTATAATAAGAATAGAAAAATCAGAAGACCAAACCTGAGCAATCATAGCTACTCTTTCTGCTGAAGTGCCATATGCATGCGACAGATGCTTAGAGACCGCACTGTCCATAACGCCGGGAATAATTTTGCCATTATGTGTTCTCTTCATGCGTGTAAAATTTTGAGCAAGTGTAGTGAATGATGCTGGCTCCCATCCATCTCCACCAACAATACAGAGATTTTCAGTCACACAACCATTGCTGGGACTCAGCTCGCCAGATCTAACTGCGGCATTAACAGCATCTTCAGCCATGCTGCACAATCAAACATCAAACCCCTGATAACCACGAAAGTTTCAATAGATATAGAAATGCAGAATGACAGCTATGTAACAAAAAACATGAAATCATCAATAAACATCATATCTTATACAGGAATATCTGTGGAATTTTCTGGATATCGCTCACGAGTTAAATTCTTTTGGTCAAAATGAGATCTCTTTTTTGGTCTACTATGTGGTTGTCTTCCAAAACAATCGATAGCATAGAATTTATTATCTCAACAACAAAACATAAAATTGTGAGTCCCTCACAGTAACATTGACAAGAGGGGCGGGTTGCTGATACTGAAACTAATATGAAAGCAAATTTTATTAAACAATGATTAGGGTTACAAACATGACACAAAACTGAAAAGGAAACAAAACATAACAAACATCAATCTCCGGCTAAGGCTAAATAAGGAGGTCCGAGGGCAGCTGTGGTGTCGGCAAGATGGTTGGGAGTAGCGATGGTAGAGGTTGTGGGGTAGGTGCCTGGAATGGGGTGGTATGGTGGCCAATGGTTAGGATCAGGCAGAAGGGCTGGCAGCAATTGTAGGAGGAAGATGAGGTGGTAGTAACAACTAAGAAAGGTGGTATGAGGGTTACGACACTTTTGGGAGGGTGGTAGGGAGCGGCTGGGTGCAGGTTGGACAGCTTGAGGGGTTGGACAGCATGTGTGGCTGCAGGGAAGGGGGCGGCAGGGGAAATAGGAAGATGTAGGTGCAGGCCGGCAGCTAAGGGGGGTAAGGGAGAGGGTAGGGAGGTAAAGGAGAGGATACAACACCACCTCGGAGCAGGAAACAACTAGAGAACCACCTGTCGTTGGATACAACCGAAACACCACCTGTCGTCAGATACAACACTAGCAAAGGGAAAAAAAATTCCACATAGAAATCTAAAAGAAAGAAAAAATAATCTAACTCTAAACTTAGCAAACATACATATAAATATATTCCAAACAGGTGGGAAACAAAAAAGGAAAAAAAGGGAAGTAGTGGGCGGCAAATCCCGACTCCCAGTAGGCGAGAATTAGAAAAGGAACGGAAAGGAGAGTGTGGGCGGCAAATGCCGCCCTTAAGAAGGCCGGTCGGTCAGAGTAGAAGGCTGAACCAGAAACTCCCTAAGCCTGTTCAACAGGCTCTTCTGCCAGCTAGTTCAGTTGGTCTTCTCCCAAAGCCCGGTGTCAACCTTTCGAAATTGGGGGAACTTCGACTTCATTAGTCGAAGCTTCCGGTTCATCATCTTCAATGCTAACAACACCTGGATCCCACTGTCGACTGCACTGTCTTCCAAAGCATTGAAGGAGTTTTCTCCACTTGCGTGCATACCTCCATATCAATCCGCTCTCCGAGGGTCCCACCACAAAATTGAACTGAGTCTGCATGTCTCACCCATGCTGCTGAATACTCCCAAAGTAATCCAAGATCGACTCGACCCGATTGGGAATGAGGGTAGCCTGAATATCTCTGAATGGTGGTGTTCATGGTGGTAAGATGTCGTAAGATGTCGACTGTGATATCCCAAAATCTTCTATGTCGCGCCTGTCACATGTCTGGTGCTGGTGTCTCAATCCTATCCATACCTTATCATCACGAAAATTGGTCCCATCAATGCTACTTTGCTGACAAGAACGCCAGTAACCTTGGGCTTAGTCGAAGGGAGGGTTATGTGCTTCCCATTCTTGGTGAAAGAATAGTTGTTTTTGAATCCATCGTGATGAATCTTCCAGTCAAATTGTCACTCTCTCCCCAATAGAATGTGTCAGACATTTATGGGGGCCATTTCTCACCACACTTGATCATGCAATTGACTCCCAATTGAAAACTCCACTAAGCATCTCATGTCAACACTAACCCTGTTTTCATTTTTCCTTCTTCAACCACATTAGAGAATATAGTTGGGAGTGTCTCTGAGTTATGAGGCCTAACTTCTCCACCATTTGTCTACAGGACTAGTCGAACCGCGAGTGACTCGCCTTCATTCTGTGGCAGACGAAACACCTCACCCAGTTCCTCAGCCGATACTATATTGGAGGGGTTGCCTTTCTTCTATTTCTTCCTACTCTGATTTGGTTTGTCATTACCTTATCCGGCTGGCTAGTTTCTCCCAAGGTACCCTTGTCAGTTGTAGTAGCTATAGGGGACTTCCTGACTGAAGGTCGTTGTCTGCTTTATTTTTTGTTGTCTTTTCACGTTCAAGACTAGTGTTTGAACATCCCCCAGCATCAAGTATGGTTTAAGTTGCACCATATTGCTAATAGAGGGCTTCAGGCCCCCGAAGTACCGAGCTACAGCGTGCTCCTCCAGTTCGGACAACTCGCATTTCATCTATAAGTGGTTGAATTGCAGCATGAACTCCACTAAAATGTATTGTTGTTGCACGTTGTGGAGTCTCAAAAACATGTACTGGCGATAATGCGATGGAATGCAATGCTTTTTTATTTTTTCTCCCATTTGGTAATCTTAATGTTACCTTCCCTTTTCTTGTCTCTGTAAATTCTCCCACCACAAAGAGGTGCATTTTTTTAACTAGATAGTAGCCAATTTTACTTGCTTACCTTCTGACACATCTTTATATATGAAGATCCGTTCAACAAATTGTAGCCAATCAATAAATTCATCTGGATTCATACCTCCCTCAAATATTGGTAGATCCACCTTGATTTTGTAGTCTCTGTGTCCTTCAACTGATGTCCCCTCTCTAGGCCTCCTCTGACACTAGATTGCGAAACGTCGTGGTCTTTCATCTTCATCACCAAAATCCACCCTATATAAGGGTTTAAAATTATTATTCCTTTCTCCTTTTCGACTTTCCCCATCACCGTTGAGGGTAAGTTCCCCAAGGTTTCATCCTCAATGTCCGTCAGTATTTGTTAAAACAGGCAGATCTCTCGTTGTATATCTTCTTGGATAGACTCAACATGTATCTCTTCGGTGGTATGACTAAGATTTGGAGTGGGAGGTGAAAGAGGGCGAAAAAATGATTTAGAGTTGTTGATTTCGAAAATCAACAAAGGGAAATTAGGGTTAGGTCAAAGCTTTGGCAATGGTTTGGGAAAAGGAAAGAATAATTTTGGAGGGGTAAGACTGGATGCTAGGAAACCCTAATATAGGATTAGAGTTAGACTAGCTCTGATCCCAAATGATACTGAAACTAATGAAACGAAACTCATAGTAACATAAGCAAATTTTACAAAAAAAAGTGATTAGGGTTACAAACAAGACTCAAAACTGAAAAGAGAACACAACAAACACCAATCTCCGGCTAGGGCCGGATAAGGAGATCCGAGGGCAGTGGGGGGGAGGTGGTTGGGGGAGAAATAAGCTCATGTAGGAATAGAAGAGTCCTCATGATAGCCTACATAAGGTAAAAATAAGCTCATGCAGAAATAGAAGAGTCCTCGAATTGATGCGTTTTAAATAACCTATACAAATGGTGCGATAATGTGAGCCCCTAAGAAGATATTAAGCTCCTCCATATGTAGTGTTTGGGCTCAATTTTCAATCATATAATAAGTAGTGTGATCTAATAAAATAAGTCCACTATCTTATGATAACAAATAAATAATGGTCTACATATATAAGATATATGTTTAAAAACAAATGAAATAAATTAATGAATATTATGAAAGCATGCTCTAATGTTAACATCTGTAAGCTTACTAGCATAGTATACATTGTGATTGAATATTTCTTTTAAAGTATTCTTAAGTAACATTTTTGCACATAAAATTATGCAAATTATTGTTCATGAATTATCACTTTAAAAGGATTAAAGGTGATGCACTACACTAATCTAGGTTTTATTTTATTTACTAATGTCCAATTCGTGATTAGTATATCAAAATCATACAATTTAAATTTCATGAATATTTAAATTCTATTTTAGATTTTTTTCTTTTTGGTTTTTAAGCTCGCTTGATATTACTCTAGCTATTCTTTTAACTAGATAAAAAAAAAAGGTTCATCCTGAATAAGAATTAATTTTGAAGAAGTTATTCTATATTTTGATGTATATTTTTTATAAAAGATATAAAGTTCATGTATAAATTGAAAGTTTAATATTGTGCAGATAAGCTTTAACGTTTATTAAAAACTTTGAGGCAGAATGATTGAAATATATTAAAATCATTTACTCAATTAATTTTTGTTAACCATTAGATGCCTATTAATAAAAAATTATGTTGTACAATAAATTTAAGATTTTCATGTGATTGAAGTTATCACCAACTCTATCCTAGTGAGTAAAGATTTAGATGTATATTGATGATAGATTCAATAAGTTAAGTTGTATTCATCTCTATTACATATGTTTAACTGAGAGGATCCATTGTGGGGCATGCCAATTTTATTATGGATAAGCCCTGTGTGATCAAAGTAGTTCAATCACAAGTATCTTCATGCACTAAATCCTATATTAGCGAGAGATCCCATGCACTAAATATGCCCTATCTTCACCCACAATAGCACCCCTAAACACAATGAAAGAAAAAACAAGGTAAACTTCTCTCAAGATTATAAATCCCATGAGAAAAGCCTTCATCTCATTCAACCATGTGATTCCAAAGTAGTTCAACCTAGCAAAACCAAGGGGAGGATCTATTGATGATTCGTTCATTACTTGATTCTTTACTTACAGACTGTCGGTACTAAAGAGTTGGGGGAGTTGCCGTAAGAAGCTGTCGGTCACCGAAATCGAAATCCCGCCGCTTGCTTCGGAAGGACATTTAATTTATATATATATATATATATAAGTTTTAAGAAAAATATGAAATCAAACTGACCCCATACTTTTCATAGTTTAAATGAAAGAGCGCTCTACCTCAAATCCTGTGTCTATCTCGAGGGATAAATACAAGACTTGAGGATAAAACTCGATCAAATAAACTTAAGAAATATATGACATCCGTTTGGTCTGTGAAAACCATTTTATTTGCTGACAAGTTCTCCTATTTAATACAAATAATTAAATAAGGTTTATTTTAGGCTGGGT